TTTCTTTTTACAACATTTTTCTAGGTTTTATCACCGGTTTTTATTGGAAACGAAAGTTAAGGCCAGGGCTTTATAACTCGAAATACGTTTCCTTTTTTTTGGAAACATAATAATAATAATATTCTATGAAATAAATTTCACACAACACGAGTGAGAGGTCAGGTGTTTGACCTTCGAATTTATTGCCAGCTGTTAGATCTACATTCATCAACAAGAAATCTACTAATTACATTTCCCCTTTCAAGGAATAATTTACAGCTGGCTGGTGAAAGGATAAATTATTTTTATATTATATTTCCTTATAGATCTATTTATGATCCGCCAATTTTGTTAGCTGTTTACTTTTTTTTTTTTGCTCAGAGACGCGTTGTAGTTGAAGAATTAGATCATCATTTTACTGGGTCTGGCACCGACGAATCTGTTTTTTCTCTGTTTTTTCTCTGTTTTTGTTTTTGTATTTTTATCCTTGTTTTTGTTTGTTTTTTAAACGTTACTTTGTTTTTTTTAATTCAAGTTGTTTGTTTTCTATGTGTTTGTTTGTTTGTCTGTTTGTTTGTTTGCTTGTTTGTTTTTGTTTGTTGTTCTTCCTCTTCTTCTTTTATAGAATGAGGTGGGGTGTGTGTGGGGGGGGGGGAGGGGGGAATACTTGTTTGATTGGACAGATGGACGATGTCATGTTAGATTAGAAAAAATCCCACCGTGACGTCATCAGCTATGGCTTTATTTCATTTGTTCCCCAATAGGCCGACTCACTAGAGCCTTGGCTTCACATCAGATTGCCGGGAGACATCCAACCTGTGCTCTACAACATCTCTTTCTTCCCGGATTTTTATGATGAGAGAGGCCAATTCTTTGGTAACCAAACTTTAGAGGTAAACACAGACTGTACTCTGCAAGATGATGCTCTTTAAAAATGAGCTACTGAAAAAATAAAATCCACGCTATTCAGCCTAGAAAGGTGTTTTTAAAATTCCTAGAACAACTGTTGCTCCTTCTTTGTCCATAAAAGATGCATGACCTACATAAAATAGCGGGCCCATTCCTGGAATAGAAATCGAGATATTTGCAGTTGAAGGAGGTGGGGGTCGCCTCGTGGCAGCAGTAAAATTACCGAGAAAATGGTCGCCAAAGTTGGATAACTTCCAAAGCTTGAGTCTTTGAAAGCTGCAAGTTTGCATTTTGTGTACCTTTAATAAACGTGCTTTTTTAAAAAGTAAACTTTAAACATCAATGGGTTTTTTAATGGACATAAAAGGTGTAGAACCAAAAATAGAACATTCGAAATAAATTGATAAATTCCCAGTAAAATGCCACTTTCTTTGATGTCATTATTTTGACGAGCACCTGATTTCACCACAATGCCTGACAATTTATCGACTATTTCAGCTGATGGTAGTGAAAAGTACGAGAGTGCTAGTACTTCATGCTGACGGGCTGAATATCACGGACGTGTCTCTCACTGATTCACAATCAGGTAGGGGGGGGGGGCTTTCTGATTAAATAAAACGTAATGTCCAAAGATCTGGTTGCGAATCGTCTTTTTACTAACTTACAGTACCTTGGCTTCGTCCTTATACCTTCGGCGTCTTTGGTGTAGTGGTTAAGCGTTTCAACCTCACAGACAGAATATATGAGTTCAGTTCCCATGCGGGGAGAATTTCTATCGAATACCTCGGGTTTTTTTTTCTGAACTGTCTTTTGATCCCTTCGTTTTCTCTGAAGTTTGTAATGCAAATTTTTTTTTAGTCTTGAGATTGTTAATGATGGTATCGCATTTCACTCGTTGTTATTAGTCGGGATTCGTCAGATGATAATAATATCATTTCAAAGTTGATAAAAAAAAACACAAAAAGAACTAACTATAAACTCTGATTTACGAATCTCCTATTCTTGTGTTTGAAACAGTTTTGTATTTTGCGTCTTAATTGACAAGTTGTAGGACACCGTTTAAACAATGGAGGCTGTTTTCAATTTCTAATTAACATTATATATCTTTAAAGTGTATCATATTTCACAAAGCAATGAAGTCTCCAAAGCAACATGCATGTCCTAAAGTATAGAAGGAAGATCGAGGGTTATGAACTCTTTAAATAATAAATAATTCATTGACAAGTTGTGAGGCTATTTTCAATTTCTGATTAACATTATATATCTTTAAAGTGTATTATACTTCACAAAGCAATGAAGTCTCCAAAAAAACATACATGTCTGAAAGTATAGAAGGGAGATCGAGGGTTATGAACTCTGTAAATAATAAAATTCTGAGAAATATAAACTAATTCAGCCTCACGTGATCGTATATGCTTTGGTTGAAAGTTTATTATCCAAGACGAGGAAAACAAATAGTTTTGAATGTTCTTATAGATCATTGAGGTCCATTTTCTTTTGTTTCTTTTTTCTTAAACTCAATTCCTCAGGCAAAGACATTGCTATCAACGACACATTTTACCACACACCGTTCAATTACTTCGTCGTGCGCACCGTTGACCCCGTGCCCAAGGACGCGGGTTTGAAGCTCTACACAAGTTTCCAGGGCTCCATGCTCTCGGGGCTTAACGGACTCTATAAAAGTAGCTACTTTGACACGGTGGCCAAGGAGACAAGGTTGAGTTGATGCTTCTTTGTTTTTCAGCACTTTTTAATCAGTTGTTTTAGACAAGCAATTTCCAGAAAATTCAATATAAATCAGGTTTACCGTAAACACGCTTGGTAAGATGGTAAAAGTAAATTATTTCTGCCCTCCCCCCCCCTCGCCTCTTTTAATCATTAAAAGCGTTTAGCAAGCACTACATCATGGCGACCCAAATATGGTTTTCTGGAGAGTGCATACCATCGATATATACATAGTTGTAAGAAACAGATGGAATTTTAAAAGTTTCTTTGGTTTCAAGTACCGAAAATGTTTTATTATAGTAATAGTGAACATTTTGTTCTCTTTAGACAAGTTTTAGAAAGAGTTTTACGCACTAGCAATACAATAAGGTCATATTTTGAGTGTCAAAGATTCGAGGTGTTACAAGAGAGAAACCAACACCAAAAAGAAGGAAAGGAGATAAGGAAGATAGATGTTTGACAGGAAAGAAGATGCAAACCACACCAGAGCACCCGCCAATCAACCCCCTTTTCATTTATTTTAAAAAAATGTTTTTGATTCTATTAATATCTCCAGACATCTTGCGACAACTCACTTCGAACCTGTGGCGGCACGGAAGGCTTTTCCCTGTCTCGATGAGCCAAATCTGAAGGCCGAGTTCTCCATCAGAGTCATCCACAGGGACAGCTACACGGCACTGTCAAACATGCCAACAGAGACTACACACGTCAGTAACTGCAAGACTTTACATGACTGTCTCCCCACAGTATTTTTAATCTGATAATGCTTGAGGAAAGAATTGCTCGCCTCTTCGTCGTTTTTTTAAAATACATATAATTATAGATTATAACGTCTTCCGCGTGCTAAGTGGGAAACCAACAAAGAAAACCATAGACTCTCTATTTCTGTATTCCTCTCTATTTAATCCCCCCTTCCTCCTCCTCCCTCTATATCTCCCGCACCCTCTCTCTCTCTCTCTCTCTATCTATCTATCTATCTATCTATCTCTCTATCTCTCTCTTCCTC